TTTTGAATAAATTTTCAAAAAAAAATCCAATTTTTTATTTTTTATTTATTAGATTTTTTGGCCGGTATGGTTTGGTTTTAAACCGTAATTAAAATTCTCTTACTTGAACCAAACCGGTTTTGATCGGTTTGGTTTGGTTCAAAACCATTTCGTTTACGGGTCCACATGGCATCAAACCGCCGGTTTCGAAATTGCGGTTTCGACTCGATTTTTCGATTTGGCGGATTTTGCTTACAGCCCTACCCCCTACCATTAATTTTTTTTCCTGGTAAGTGTTGCAAAAATCGTGAAGGAAAAAAAAGTTATCGGTAAAGATTAAAATACAAAAAAAATTCTACCAAATCTAAGGAAAAAAAGTGACAAAAAAATTTAAAAAGTAAAACAAGTGGGATTCAAAAAGTGATACAAAAGTTAAACTGGCCATAAGACTAAAAAAAGTTATAAAAATTCAAAAAAAAGTGATAAAAATTTTAAAAAGTAACGAAATACCAATTAAAACATTGGAATTGGTTTAATAAAGCAATAGAAATTTAAAAAAAGAAAAAATAATAAAAAGTAATACAACCATCGTTCCTCTTCTTTTTCCATTCATCGTCAAGCATCTTTAAGTCATTTCACGGGAAAAAAAAATGAAATGCACCGCTACCGTCATCTACCAACTCAACCACCGACACAATCACCGTCCCTCCTCTATCTCCTTCCCCACCTACTATTACTAGGAGACCCAAGCCTAAGAAAAAAAAAATTTCACATAAAACAGAAGAAAAACAAAATCAAATGAACACTATTAAAAAATTGACGAACACTAAATAAAAAAAATTGACGAACACTAAATAAAAAAAAGTGACAACTCCATTCAAACCGTAAAATGTATAATTTTATGCAAATTCAACCACTCTACCGCCGCACCACCACCACAACTCCAATATTGAAAGCTCCGAAACCATTTCAGCCTCATTTCTCCAATACCCACCAAAATTGCTGCCAAACTTCAAATCTGGCTATTCCATTCCAATAACAGTCGGCTATGAAAATCTGCATCAATATTATACAATTTATTTAAAAAGTAAAACACAAAACTAGTATTACTATATTATCTTCTTCAGCATATCCTTAAGCAAAAAATAGTGTGAAGTGTCCATTGATTTCGTGTTGAAAAAAAAAAAAACATGAAACAACATGAACAGAACAATGAAATGCGCGTGTATTAATAAAAAAAAGTGGGATTCAAGTTGTAATTGATTGATGAACAGAGGAGTTGGAACAAAGAAAGAAAAGAGTAGAGGAGTGGGATTCAAGTGCACTTTGATTTCTTACGCAGCGCTTCGACTTAGGAGTTTCAACCATTTAGGCAGTACTTCAACATAAGAGTTTCAACCTTTGTTTAACTACTTTGCTTTTTGACCAATTGGATTTCTGTTGACTTTCCTTTTCACATGGAATGCAATGTGGTACTTTGACTGTAGCCTCGATGGCGAGATGTAACATTATCAACACATGATTTGCTATTCAAAGTGGCCTAAGATAATTATATATCTTTCATGGAGTTAGCATATAAGAACTAGATGCAAATGACTTTTTTTGATGTTATACATAATATTGATATTGTTCATTTAGACTTTTAAGTATATATTTAATGATACATTAAATTAAATTGGACAAGACTGATTAAAAATTTATAAAAATATGTGAAAGTATTAAATTTTCTATTTAATAATTAGTACTGTAAATAATTGTTTTTAGAAAAAGAAAATTGATCACTGATTATTACAATTACCATGGATAATAGAGCTAATTTTTTTCCTGTTTTTTGAAACGTTTACTCGTAAAAAGTAAAGTGGAGCTTCACTATAACGTAAAAATGAAGATAGAAAAGTAGTCGACAGTGACAATTCCAAGTCGATGTTTTGGTTAATGTTCCGGTTCTACAATTCCCATGGTAGAAGTATGTAAATTCAATCTCTCAAAAGGTGGCCGCAGTTTGGGTTGCAGCAAACAAAGAACAATGTCATGCCTTACTCTCCCTGAGCAGTTATAATCAAAATGAGAGTAACAACGTCATAACTCGGTGCCAACACCTATGATCATATCAAACGAACACAATATCAACCTGAGTACTTTTTATACCCCGGCAAAGAGGAAGCACTGGAAAAAAATCGACAAAAAGAATAAATTTTCTACTTCTAATATGTTTTTCACAACCAGAATGAAAATTGAGTAAAAGATGTTCGATATCAAAATGAAACGAAGGTATAAATTGGTTGACTAGGTGCATGTTTGGCCAAGCCTTAAAAAGATAGAAGTACTTAAAAGTAACTTTAAGCAACTTGATTGCAAAATTTAGCTCAAAATTATACTTTTTCAAAAAATAAGTGTTCAATAATATTAAAATTAAGAATAATATTTAAATCATATGCAGTAAGTCTTATCTAACACTTTAAACTTTTAGATCAAGTGGTTCAATATGGTATCAGATCTGCAAATGTCTTGAGTTGAAGTCTCGATGTCACTCGTTTAAATAAATTGTACATCCACATGTTAGATTTTGATGAAAACTTTTACATCGAGTTTTCGACAATATTTTATCTTTAATAATTTAAATTGACAAATTATTGGATAATAGGTAAATTTTGACTTTATTTCAAGCAAATACAATCTCTCTTTTTCATATTAGACTAATTATTAATGTCGAGGATAGCGACACGAGAAAGCAGATCAACATAAAGAAAATAGTATTTTTTTTCTTGAAATTTATAGTAGAATACAATTGAAGTGGTACAAATTATTTTTGTGATGAACTCGTAGCACAACTACAAAATCAATTACATTTCAAATCCAAATATAGCACTACTATCTTTGTTTTTAACTTATGATTAAAAATGAACTTGTAGACTTTTAATTGGTTTTTCCACAGTTGAGCCTGATTTGTCCATTGGTGCCAGTAAGTGGGCTAAGGTTTCCCATTTTCACCATAGCACTTGCAAAATCATTGAAAAAAGAAGCAGAGTTTGAGCTATAAGCATTAACTTGAGAATTGGTGGAGCCACCACTGAATAGCTGCTGATCAGAATGCAAAAGCCCCTTTTGGCTTAGCAAATTCTTGAAGTAATTGTTATCGAATGACGTCGGAGTAAGGGTGTCGAGCGGGGAAATATTGTTGTCGCCACCGCTGTTGGGGCAGTTTGCTTTCAGTGATGTTGCAAATGAGGCATTTATGTTGGCTTCATTGTATAGTCTGGTTCGGAAAGATGTGCATCTTGCTTGGCCTATCGTATGAGAACCTGAATAAAAATAAATGGAGCAAATGATCACCGAAGACTGAATATAACTAGCCGTAGTTAGAATGTTAAATATATGTATATGATATACCTGAAAGGGCTACCATTTCCTTGGCTGTGAATCCTTTGTTAGAGAAGGCAGAAATAAGGCCATTAAGATTCAAAGTTGGAGCTGGGAGGTTGTTGTTAGCAGCACTCGAACTTGCAGAGGTTGAGTCCCTTCTTCCAAGTACAACTGACCAACTAGGGCCTCCCAACTAAAAAATCAGTCAAACTTGGGATTAATATAAATGCACACGTCAGATCTTTACTATTTATAAAAAGAGTAATGCTATTCGTAGTTACTCACCATGATAGTGGCCCCACATGTCATATACGAGATAGGTGGTTATTTAATGCATGAATGTCGTAGTTTTTTTTAACTCGTGCATCAAATAGCCACTTGACATGTGCATGTAACGTGTAAGACTACAACATTAGTCAACAACTACAAGTAGCATTATTCATATGAAAAGGAAAGAAAGAAAAATAGTGTACTTACAGCGACGACAGAATCCCGAGCAGCAACGGCCAAAATATCAGCACAAGAAACAGTGGCTGGACACGCTTTCTCTACTTGAGATTTAATGGTGTCGATCACGTCCATTCCTCTCAATGAATTAGCATTCGGCCCAGCGTTCTGTTCTCCGGTGAAGTTGGCAGTGTCATCCAATAATACTGATGCGTCGCATCCCTGTTCATTCATTTATATTTCACAAACTAAGCCCATGTTTGGTACACATTCTTTCAAAATACATTTTTTCAAAACTCATTTTCAACGATACATTTTTCAATAAAATAATATTTTTCATCACATCGATAACTTTTCCTTCCTTTTTAACCACATATTACTCATCTTATCATTATTTAAAATACATTATTTTCTCAATAATATCCATTAAACACACACTAATTATTAAATTAATATACATCTTATTAAATCACTATCAATGACAGATTGTAAACTATTAAAAGTTCTTCCCTTTTATTTTAATTAACTTCGTACTCAGAGATTAGTCCTTTCTGCATTCTTTATCATAAAAATTCATGCAAGAAAGAAAAGTTAGAAAATAAGCAATTGTAAGTAACCAAGAAACAACGTTGTACCCATTATCTTTATTTCTTGGGAAACTTTTTCGAGTGTTATAACATTATATTATAGGAAAGACTTTCACATGAAAAGTACACAAATCCTGCATGTAAATTCCCTTACCACTGTTGAACACTAAATTTAAATATATAAACGCGAGAGTTTAATCATCTAGGCAAAATCAATGAAAAGCAATTAAAAGGAGAAAGAAGCTAAGGGTCTGAAACTTGCATTGACAAAGCAATCGTGGAAATGAAGACGAAGCAACGATGCCCCCATGCGGGCTTCATTTGATACTGCAGAGTTAACAGCAGTTTTGATAGTCGAAAGGAGATTAGGACATGAACTCGAATAGAAGTTAGAAGACAATTGTGCCGAGGATAATCCAAAAACAAGCACAAATAGAATTGATCGAATAGCAAAAGCATTTTGCATTGCTGAAGAAGAAGAAGAAGAAGAAATAATCACAACCATGATTAATCCAAGGAATTTCTTAATTATAATTCTAATTGTTTTGCTTATGGGTTCTCGTTAGATTTTCATGCATTATATAGTAGATGATTGGGAAAACCTATGCGCTGTAATCCATTTCGTTATGTGCTTAAGTCAACCTTCAACACACAATTGCATATACTATAGATATTATCTTATGATGTTGAATATGAACTTTATCTTTTTCAACATTGTAGGCTAACGTGAAATATATATGAAATCCTGGCAATAATAAAAAAATTAGAGTTGACTACGATATCAGATAAGAAAATATAAAATATCACCTAATTAATTAATTAAGGGAAAGTTCTATGCAACTTCGTTATAACCTTGATAGCAATATAAACATCGACGACATGTATTACTTTATTATTATTATTATTATCTACTATAATTATTCGAGTTAATAATAATAATAATAATAATAATTAAAATTCTATTAATATGATTTATAAATCATATTAATAGAATTTTAACTTTAATTCTTGGTGCTTTGCATTTGGAAGCTGGTCAACGAGTCTCTATCGACAAGCAATGTAGCCTAACCGCACTCCTCCAATATGATGTCGAATTTAAAAAATGACAACTTTAATATCTTATCGTTTGCAATGTAGCCTAACCATACTCCCAATTTTTTTTTATAAAAAAAGTGTAAATGAGTCCTAAATAAATTATTAAAAGGATAATTAGTACATAATGTCCATAAATTTCGCCGTTATTGCGAAAAAATCCATACCTTGCATTTTTTTTAATATTTTCACTTTTAATTACACATTTGATTGTACAAACCATCATTTCCATCCAATTTCTCAATATAAAACTATTAATAATGAATATACCCTTCTATTTAAATAAAAAATATTTTTTAAACTTATAATTCTTAAATGATTTATTTGGGGACTCGTTTACACTTTTTTAAAAAGAAATTTACTTGGGACTTGTTTGCACTTTTTTAAAAAATTGGGACTATGGAAGCAATCAATTCTTTAGTTTTTTTTATTTATTTAAATGGGAAAGTATATTCGTTATTTCACAACTTTTTATTGAGAAATTGGATGAAAAGGAATAGAAATGATGATTTGCGCAATTAAATGTGTAATTAATGGTGAAAATGTCAAAAAATAAAAGATATAAACGTTTTTTGCAATAATAGTTAAATGTATGGATATTATTTGCTAATTACCCTTTTAATAATTTATTTGAAATTTTTTTGCGCTTTTCAAAAAAAAAAATTAAGACTGATTGCAATTAATTTTTTCTTTTTCTTTTTGTTTTATTTAAGGAGAATGGTATATTCATCATTTCACAATTTTTAATTGAGAAAATGAATGAAAATGACCTTTACCCAATAAAATGTGGAAATAAGGGTGAAACTGCCAAAAAATGATTTAAATGCTTATAAAATAAGAAAAGTTCCTTTTATGAATGAATAGGCTAAAACTAAAAGTAGATCTGTTTCACAAGTCATCCATAGGCTTAAATATTCTGTTCATACCCCTTTACTATGTTGAAATGCTCAACCTTATACACAACAAGTTGAACATATATAGAAATGATATGTAAATGGTGACTTATATAATAGTTTCCCCTTTACTATTAAGTTTTTTTTTTTTAAAACACCTAAACAGAAAATCTGTTGAAATGCTCAACATTATACACAACAAGTTTTATAATTTCTTCGTCTTTTTAATAGAAGAAGATAGAAAAATATGAAACTTTTGATTGAATTGTCAACTTGTTTTCCAGAGTTTTCGAAAAATTTCAGATTTCAAAATATGTTCAAACAAAAAGGTTAGTGTTTTGGAAGTTTCAGTCTCCATTCATATAGCTTTCTTTTCAAATAGGGCCATCATTCCATTGTGTGGAAGTGAGAACGGATCCACACGGGAGAATCTTGTTTGGTGGATTGGAAAAATGGAATGATCGATCGAAACTTCTTGATGGCCCTATTTGCACGCTTTGCAACTTTTTTACCTTGACTTGATCGCATGCAGTACTTTAGCCTCTTTATTTAGTTTATAATTGTTTGTGTAACAAACCACAAAAGAAAGCTATATGAATGGATGAGAAACACTATTATTATAGATTGACATTTTGCATGAGAAAAGTGTTTCGGACAAAAAATAATAATAACCTACCTAGATAAATATAGGACTCTGAAAAACATGACTCTTATGATATTAAGTATACACCAGCATAATACTGGACAAAAAATCATCTTCCATTCTATTATGCAACCTTGTCTTAATGATACTCATAGCTGAAAATGCACGTTCTGTTGTTGTTTTTTAAGTAATTGATTCATAAATGGGTCCTTTACTTTTGGATTAAATTTGGGCTATTTATTTATTTAAGTAACTATTTGATCTTTTGTTTAGGTATAAGATTTTTGTAAAGTTGAATTTTAAATTGTAAGTTATTTGGTCAATATTTATTAAAGGAAAAAAAATTCAAAATTTTGCGGGGGGCGAGTTAAAATTTTTGCAAGGGCGAAACTGAAAAATACATTACAAAGCAACTAAGAATAGTGGACCGAAAAGAAGCTGTCACTAAATTTGTAGTAAATTAATTAGTTTGCACTATTAAAAATACATGCTCTTAGAAAAAAAAGTAATAAAAAAAGGAGTTTCATTTTCAAAATGTCGTTTTTCTTTTAAATGAAGCTGTCACTAAATTTGTAGTAAATTAATTAGTTTCCACTATTAAAAATACATGCTCTTAGAAAAAAAATAATAAAAAAAGGAGTTTCATTTTCAAAATGTCGTTTTTCTTTTGATTGAACCGCGTATTATTTTTGAAATAATCGCTTGACTAATTAATGCGTTCATTAGAGTCGTAGCTGCAAAGAATCTATAATACGAACCCCGCCCATAAAACTCTATATATTTTATTATTCAAATTATTTAATATGGTATTATAAGAAAAAAAAATTATTTCGATGTGATTGTTCGATTTTAATAATTACTCACTCGCTTGTAAATAAAAAAAATTATCACATAAAGGAGGAGAATAATATATAATATAATTGCAAACAAATATATCATATATATTTTCCCTGCAATTGAACTTGTTTAGATTTTACTCCGTTAAATGCTTTAGGGTGAGTTTCAACTAAATAAACTCACTACCTAATATGTTAATAGGTAATGTCCTATAAAATAAAATAATCCCATCCATTGAATATATTATATAAAGTCAAAATGCTATCGTAAGAACCACGTGTTTTCAAGAATTATTAGACCCCCACCGCCCGCCGTGTGCAGCCAAGAAGAAAATAGTGATCAAGGCATTAGGCACTCCATTAATATATTTATTGAGTGTAGATTTGGTGTTCTTTATGGGATTAAATAAAGTAATTATAAAGATCGTGGGAGTAAATACAATTGTGACAATCCCATGTGTTTGCCTTTTTGAATGAAGAAGATTAATAGGCAATATAATTATTGGAATTGGAATTGAATTAATCTCGAGACATGTTTGACAAGTTAAAGATGCAAAAAGATTGAACATCTAGCTATCTACGACCCGATCTCTGTTGAAGATAATATTTAAATGATATATACCTAACAACTTAAGTTATTAAATGAATCCAACCTATAAATAAGGACGTGTGTCGAAGATAATATGCCTTATCTAGTAGCTTAAACTCTAACATCACGTGGGTCAACAATCTTATTGACATGATTATATACTCAAGTGGAAAGACATGCATGCGGCACCCTCTGTACATTTTACACGACTTATGTAAAATATCAATATTAGAAGTATTCTTGTTTGCTTGAGGTTTGAAAGTTTACTTACAAGTAAATAAATCAATTTAAAAAGAAAAAAAATAAAGCTATTATTTGCCATATTAGTTTAAAACTAAGTAAATTGCGAATTTGAACTTTAAGGGTTCGTTTGATTGCATGAATGAAATTTGGGTGGAAATAAAATGAATTTCAGGGAATTGAATTGCCAAAAACTTGTTTTACTGGTAATTGTCAATTAATTATGTTTGATCGGTATGGGGGAAAATATTTTTTTCTCAAAAACCAAGAAAAATGACCAAAAAGGGGATTGGGTGGAAAATTATTAGCCAAAAAAAATTTGTTTATCAAACAAACAAAAATGTAGAAATGGAAAACTAATTCCTAGTTTCATGGAAAAGAAATACTATCAAATAGGGCCTAAGATTTTTTTTTTTTTTTTGATATTTTTTTTTTACATTAAAGAAATATATTTGAAAATAAAAATTTCTTAAGAAGTAAATTTTAAGAACAGTCCAATATGATTCAAATCTGGAATACATTTTTCCCACATTATCCAACTCAATATCATTGTCTTAGGAAAAGTAAAGATAAGATTGAAATAAAAAGATTGGGGACACCATTATGATTTTTTCAAAGTGAACAACGATTTGAAGATGACATGAAATCGACGTTTAAACAAACCTAAAAATAAGTCTTTTTTAATAGAAAAAGAAGCCTGCATGCAACCCCCAACTAATACAAAACTGTCATTTTCTTGTTTTAGTATATTTTATTCCTATTTTAAAGTTATAGGGCTAAAATTAGTTGACAATTTATGCACTAATTAATTGTAATCAAGCATGAAAAACGAACACGATTCCACATTTTCAACAAGGATATGATTTTCGTTGACAACCCTAACACGCTTCATTAATTAAGTTGAAGTTTTTGCACCAATCAATGCAATGTTTACAGTCATTAGATGGAAATTAAAGGCTGTCTCATACTTGTTTGGGCCTACAATGTTAATTTGATTATCGAGTTTGACATAAAACATGAAGTAATGTTATTCATTTTCAGTGGGGTTACAAATGCAGTTTAGGTGACTCTGAATAATACTTTCATTTAACCTATCATTTAGGACCACCTAGACTGTGTTTGTAACCCCACTGGAAAAATATAAGCTCCTCATAAATAATATGTTTGAAGGGGCCAGGTACAGCTGGGAAATCTTAACTGGCCGACTAATTT